ATATTAATTAGAAGAAGTGAAAATTAAAAAATATATACTGCAAAAATCTAACTAGAAAAAAGAAGTCAATCTCTTTTATTAATTCAATTAATTGGTTTTGGATTTTTTTTATTTTATCATGAATTATATAATAAAAGATAATATTTTTTTTATTTTTTAATCATCACATTTGCATATTATGTGATTCAAAATTAAAATTCTTTAATTTTAGAAAAATAAGAATATCATTGACTTATTTATATCATTATGGGAATTTCCAAAAATAATCAAAACCTAAACTAGCTGTATCATTTTCATTTTAGTTTATAATCATCAGCTTTGCTTTTCAACCTATCTTTTAAAAAGAAATTTCTAGGCTTTTATTATTTTGGTTTTGTATTCATTTTCTTCAAATTAATTTATGATGCGATAAAGCTGGAGGTAAAGAAATTAAGATCCTGAAGTTTGGGAAAAGAGTTAAATGGAGGTGTATGACAGTGTGTGGCATCATCTAATTTCTAAATGGGTGGTGCTATTGGAACAACCTTTTTATCTTATTATTTTGTACAATTTTCACATGTCATTAAAGGAATGGATGCATTCAATATCATGAATTCTACATGAATTAAAATAATCAATTATTTTAATGACACGTTAAGTTGTACAAAAAAAATGAAACGAATTAGTTGTCCTAATAGAATTTCCCTTTCCAAATAGGGAACCAAAGCATTATCGGAGAGATTTGGAACTTTAGAATCCATGGATAAATTGGACTTGAAAGTAAAATGGGATTGATTTGGGTCGATTGACAGTTGTAATCAAAATATCAAAGTAGAAAGTGAAAGGATATATCCAGATTTAAAAAAAAAAAAAAACTAAAATAGAAAACAAATAGGAGAATTATAAACTGGAAAATTAGGATGTGGTTGTAGAGATTTCCCCTTTTTCCTTGGCCTTATTTTGATTTTTATTATTTATAAGTTAAATGTTTAATTGTGGGGGAAAGTTCAAAGATAGAATCTCAACAAAAATTAATAAAAGATAGAATAAGTGACTAATTAAGAAAGAATAATATAAAAGGTTTTTACACTCAATTTCACTAAGATAGCAAAAAAGAGAGAGAGACGTGAGGGAGATAAATAATAATAACAAATAAATTATTAATAAAAAGTGGTAAGTGAAGGCAAATATATGGTAGAGAGAAAATATAACGAGAAAATTTGAGTGGTAAGCTAAGAGATGGAATACAATGAAAAGTAATTGTTGTTGCAGAAAACCTTCAAGGCCTATCTTGTTTGAATTCTCTTGTTGAATGAACCTACAAAACCCTGAGGGTGATCCTTGAAATAGACATTTTGATATTTAAGTTAACAATAATTTGGATTATTCTCTCTTAGAAAGAAGTATGAAAAAGTTCTGGATTGATTTCTTACCTTACCTTTTCCTCGTAGCTTGTGGAAATATTTGTATATGTTGACAGGATATCCATGTGGTTTGCTTAACCCAGTAATCATGACATGATTTGTCTGATGGAGTAAATATCTTAGATGAATATAACGTGCCTTAACAGATCAACTGCATTAAATGAACGTGGCATGTTTTGATGAAGCAAATCTCTTGGAGACAAAGAATTAAGTAAGGGTAAGTAATAAGGTAAAGGCGCTCCGATTGTAACTGTTGTACACCCTATCTTGAGATCTGCTCTACCCTTACAGTAATAAAAGGTGGAGTAGAGGCAAGTAAAAATGCATTAAGATAACAATGTTAAGAAGCTACGCTTTTTGTATTTAATATAAAACATTTTATATATGGGGTACGAAGAAAACATTAAAGTTAAAAATGAGATATATAATGATATATTGAATTATAAGAAATAACTAAAATGGAATATTTTTCATTCAATTTTTTTTATAAATTAATACATTTAAAATGACTAATTAAAAAAAAAACTCTTAGATAGATATTTATAATCAATCATTATTAAAAAATTATAAATAATAAAAATGTATAAAAAAAATTACAGACAAAAACCGGCGAGCGATTGAGGTCTACTATTAGAATAAAGAGACTATGCAATTTTCTAAACAAAACAACCGTGCACGGTGCACCTTGAACTTGACGTCATAAAGATAATTGTTTTTCAAGATCTACATCACCGTAGAAAGCAAGAGAATTAAACTTGAATGGTTTGGTATAGAAAAATTTTTTTATTCCCTCCAATTGACACGTTTTTAATTGACAAAAACTTTTCTCTATTTATAATAGCCGAATAAACAAGCTGCAGTCAATGAATTCCTTTATTCTTTACGTCAAATAAAGAGAAAACTGAGTCTTTAACAAGTGTCTTGCTGTCAGAGGCATTTTACAAAACAACTACTAATATCAAGTCTCAAAATAATTTGTATGTATTTATTTATTTATATTATTTTTTTATTTTAGATTACATAATAAAAAATAATTTTTTTTTCAACTTTCAACTTTCAACTTACTTTACTTATATATTATACAATTTAAACTTAAAATTTTTTATTTTTAATAAAAAAAAAATTAGCACAAAACTATATGTATTGGATCATTAAACTACTTTCCACTGACACACAAATCTACAAACAAAAATTTAAAAATAAGTTGTTTAATTATGTATAATTATTTAAATTAAAATGAATTTTATTTTTTAAAAAACCCATATAACAACATAAATAGATTCTTTTAATAAATTTTACTAGATGGACAATTCAAGAAGTTCGCAATCAATCCTTTGGAAAGTAAGCTGTTTCCCCACAAGGTCATACCCTACATTGTAATTCTGTTGTGCCAATACCCCTATCATATTCCACTGATCGTCATTCCGAGACTCCTGCACAGCCATGCAGAACCCCCCTGATCCATTGTCAATAAACAAGCTCAGTACATCTAATCCTAGCTCCGCCCCGCCAGCAAACTCAAAAGTAACTACTGGAAAGCCCGTTAAATCTCGGCTAATATTCCCCTTGTAGCACAAGAAAATTGGATCGTTCACGCGTTCTAGCTTTCCTTGCAGCAAACTAATCACCTCCGCGCTGAGTGGTCCATAAGCAGCCTCAACGAGGAACGAGACGGTGGTCCCGGAGTCAATAACCGTGCCACCCTCCCCCGACGCCGTCCTTTCAAAAGCCCCACGATCAATATTTAGCCGTTTTTCTCCAATACGTATGCCTTCCATAGTAAGATAGTAAAATCCGTCATAAATGTCTAGTGGAGTGTTATCGCCTTGTAAAACTGCATCATTTCCTAAAATCAATTGGTTATAGGAATATTGAGGATCCCTTATATTCCCAATGCAATACGAAAATTTGGACCCTAATTTCCTAACCAAAGATACATTTTCCGGTCCTAGACCAAGAACCCCACTAGTCTGCCCATAGATTCCCTGATTCTCATGTCCGCATCCAATCAGCACGTCCAAGACAGAGGTGATACCTTCATCGGACGTCGTCAACGTAACTTTTTCAGTTGCAATAACACCATTTGCGGTGGATCCGTCAGCGTAAGTCATGTCGAACTCACAGTTATTATTGGGGTCGCACTTGTCCTCCGAGGACCCTACTGTGCAGGAGGGTGAGGTGCATGGTAAAGTTTTATATGTGGATGATTTGGAAGGGTCGAAAATGGGTGTGAATTGTTTAAAGCAGTTAATGCAAGGGAGGCACTGGGTCCACAAGAGATCGCTACCGCTGTCCATGACAAGGAGTTGGGGAACTGGTGGCTCACCGAGTGAAATATTTACCATGAACTGGCCGTTGTTACTAGCATCAGCCACAACATCGCCGCGGTAGTCTTGTAAGGATGGATGCCTTGGCCTTGGGGAGTAAATGAGTTTGAAGGCAAATCGGCCATGACTACAGGAAAAAGAGGCTACCAAAAAGACAAGGCAAAGCAGGGTAGAATTAGTCATGGTTGGATTCCGCAATATTTTTATTTTTTTTGTCCGAAGGTGAGAATTTACATTAGGATTGAAGGAATTTATGGAAATTTATTTATTATTTAGGAAGATTATTATTTAGGGAAGTTTAATTAAAATATTAGTAAGTACTCCATAAATTCCTAAACAGACACTTTTTTTTTTTTATCAGCAGCTTTAAAAATTTTAGGAACTCATTAATAACGTAGCTACAAATAGGTTTGAAGCCATAAAAAGTCCCTCAATTTGTACAAAAAGGCTCATTGTCATCTCTTCCTAAATACATGAAAATCCCCAACCGTCGATGAAGAGGCTAAGTCTGGTTTCCTGTGGATGAACAGTCATAATAGTGTCCAACAACTGTTTTTCTTTTTTTTTTTTTTTTTT